GGTAGATGACGTCAACTGCTCTACCGCTGTCTATAAGTCCTGTAGCCCCAAACCATGCCATACTGCTGTTAGCCAAAATTCTCCAGCAGTACTAGTACTTTATTACAGCTGCTGTCAGCAGCGTGCTGTTTAAGCCAGTGCATAGACAGCCTTCCCTAGCTCATTTAACACTTGCTGTTTTCCGAGCAGCTCAAGGCTAGCACTCAGATGATGTTTTCATAGTTGTGTGTATACAAGAGGATTAGCTGTGTTCTTAAAGCATAGCCAAGTTTTTCCAACATAACTTTCCAAGCTCTCACCCAAGACACCTCCCCTTTGAACAACAAAAGTTCTACAACTCTTAGCCTAAGCATAAACTGACCTTCCTTAAGGAGAAAAAGAAAACCAAGATATGTTTATAAAAGGAATCAAAGGCCTCTTCTAATTTTACCTCTTCAATTCTACAGAACTCTACAGAGCAGTACAATACAATTACAGTATCAGTATTAAATGCCATTTCTTTCATTTACCAACTCAGAGAATCATTACTTTGCTAATTTGGCTCCATCCAAACAGTATCTTAGTAGAACACCACTGTCTTTGTACAACTACAGTCCTGGGGCATCAGGCCGATCCTCCGTTTTGGTAGATATATTACACAAAGACCAAGAACACTGTCTCTCAGCACAAAGTAGCAGCATTGGCACTGGATGCTCCCCATCACAAGTGCAGGAGTTTTCACTTCTGTAGCTCCAAGCAGGAGTGATATTTTTGGATTATGCTGCTCTATTTCCAGTGCAAGAGCTGTTTCTGAATAAAAATTCACATCTAAAAGTTACACAGATAATACTGAGACAGATGAATCTTCTAACATGGACAGGGATACAACTTCTAACCAGCCGCAGTTGTGCAAAGGTGCAGTGCCTGCAGCACAGTTTAACAGATCTTCTGTTTAGGGAAAATTAAGAGGAGAGTGAAAACAACCAACACAGACCACACTTCAGGGAAAATACAAGAACAAGTCAACGCACAGAGTAGTCAGATGCAGTGCTAATGTGAGTTTAGCATTTATCTACAGATGTCTTCACTTTTTAAGAGATTACACCCAACCAGAAAGTCTCAAATTCCTTATAAACAGGCACTAAAATCCCATTGTCCAAGATAAGATTGAGCATTTAACTTTTCTCTCAAAAATACTGACAATAAGCTGAAAACTTACACTGTACTGTTCCAAATTTTTCTCCTTGTTTGCCTCTGTATCTTCTAAATCCTTGTGTATAGCTGCAATCTGCCGCTTCTTGTCATTGATGGCTTGATCTAAAGACTTCAGTTCTTTCTTTATCCATTTATCTCTTTCTTCTTTGGAAGTAAACTGGCTCCCTCGACCTTGTTTTGCATAAAGATCTGTTCTTTCCTGTGTGGCCTGTGCAAGTCTATTTTGAGAAGGGAAAGACATGCTGTATTATAAAAAAATCATGAATTTAAGAGCAAGCATTAAGAATTACCATAAGAATTTTCAAGAAGTGTCAAACCAGGCTCTGAAATTTAAGCCCTAAATCCGTAACAAAAAGAAAGGGATCACGTGATAAACCAGAAAATTACCCAGAAGACTTCACAAAACAGGAAGTCCACAGTAGCCCACAAAAGTGGCTGAGCTTAAAAGTTAATTTCACCAAACACTGTTCCCCCGGCAGCTGTAAAGGCAGCTTTTTACAGACCATCCGTAAGTACACACAGCTACCCCATCGTCAGGCAACAAGTACAACTCTGAGTTAACTGCACATATGCACAGTACAGATACTATTTTTAAAAAATGCTTTGACTGCCACAGACCTAGCAATTCCTCTCTCTTCTCTTTCTTTTACGCTGTTGAATTTCGGCTCCGTTTCTGCTAATTCTTTCTGCTTCTCCTCAATTTTCTCCAGAAGCTTTTGCCTCTCTTTTAACAGTCTTTTCTGAAAGTCAAACAAAGCACTATTTAAAGCTAGGTGATAACAGGAACTGTATTATTAAATACATACTTCTAAAGAATTATTTAACTGTATGATGCCATTGCTTCTCCGATGCTACACTGTTTCAATGTGTAACAGAAGTGAATTCAGTTCTAATCAGGACAGCAAGGAGGGATGAAATGAAGCATTCTCAAGAAGCTAAACTATGCAAGCAAGGAAGGTCTGTATGGGCCAAACAACCAAGTTTAAATTAGTTCTGCAAACAAAACCCTCCTTGCAGCAATTAAGATCAAGAAAATTATAGATGCTTTGTTTTGCAACATGCAGGGGGATAAATAAAGGATCATAACACAGGAGTCTATGTTTACATCCCCTAGAAAGACATTAAAGACTAAGACATGTGTCCAGCAAACCTTAGAAGATAATGAAAGGCAGCAGTCTAAAACCAGATCTTCAATGTACAAGTATGCTACCTCATGCAAATGACATATTAAGACTTCACTGCTGTTACGTACTCTTTGTTCACTGTTGCCAGCTAATTCATCCTGCAGGTCTTTAGCCTTCAGCTCTAATTTAGTCCTCTGTTTAATCTGTTCCTGTCTTTCAGCACTAAGTTGTTCTTTCTCTTCTTTCATTGCCGAAATCTTTGTCTTCAGTTCTCGAACTTGCCGTTCTATTTCCTAGGCAAAGTTAAGCATGCAGTGTTTTAAACACACTTCGGGATCAATAAAAACTCACAAGATTATTCTTATGTAGATCAAGATCCATTAATAGTGTGAAAAACTTCTCCCGTTTCCAAATGGGATGAAAACATAAAATAGAATTTAACATGATCTTAGACCACCTACACCAACCTCAAAAAACCCCACAAAGTGAAACACGCCTCTGAAGAGCCCTTGTTAGTAGTATTCTTACCTCCATTTTATCCCTAGCATCTTGCTGTGCATCTCTCAGCTGCCTGGATTTCTCTCCACTTGTCTCTCGTTTGGCAGAAAGCTGTATGGAAATATCACCAATAGCTTAAGTAGCATGATTCTGGCTTGGTAGTAGTTCCAGAAAGAATACAATTTGTTAAATTAGTGAAAACATTGTCAGGATTCTACCAAGGAATGCAAAGAAAAGCAGCAAAAAGCAAATCAACAGCTCATGCTATATTTTGTATTAGATAAGACATTTCACCTCATCAAGCTTAGCTCGGGTTTCGTTCAGCTCCTGATTATAAATGGTGTATTCTAATGCTCTCCTCATTTTATCCCATTTCTGGTACTGAGCCAGCTCTTCTTTCTCCTCTTCTAGGGTATGCAGTCGCTCTTCAATGTATTTCAACAACTCATTGATCTTTTCTCGCTTGCCCTCTTTTGAAAAGATGACAAGATTGAAGTTCAGTTAAACACGCTCATACATTCCCATGCCTTTACAGCTACTGAATCTCCTTCAGTGATTAACTGTCAACAGTCATGAAATTTGAAAAGGAGAACCCATGTCCAGAAGTTCCACCAAAAAAAACATTCCAACGGCAGAACTGTTAATATTAGTTAAGTAAATCTTGTACTCTCTTGGCTCACACACTAAAAGTGAGTATAGACTATACCACATAAACTTCAGTGTTTGCCTAGCAGTAGGCATCCTGATTTTTGGATCGCTGCTAGGCGGCATGACTTGTGTGTTGTGAACAGTACGAATATCCCTATCAGCTCTGCTAAAAAGTTTCAGTAATAAAAGCACACACAAAGTCACTTATTAGACCTTTTGAGATAACATACTACAAATAAATCCTATCTAGCAATTAGCTTTACTGAAAAAGCCATAAACCTTCAGAGTCAACAGAATTACTGTGGCACAAAACAGTCATTTACTAAGCATTTTTTTTTACCTGTTTCTTTCATTAGTGAAATACTCTCTTCTTTACGCTCATCATACACTCTTGTACCAGCTACTTCTCTTAGTAACTTTAGTCTTTGAGAGTCAGGAGCTGTGGCCATCTGGTTGATCTGAAAATTCAAGATCAGTGATTTCAAAAGCCTGCTCTAGATGTACGGCTAACCATGACAGAGCAAAGACTGCACTTTTTTTGCTGTGCCTGCTTGCCTGAGGTTTTGGCAGGAAGATTCAGATACCTAGTATATACTATACTACTTTTGAGACAATTACTTTAGGATGGCAACTATTCTGCTTACAATAAATTTTGCTGGCCTTCAGATGCTACCAGTTACTGCTAAAACTCAAGATAACTAGTGTTAACGTACACTGTAGAAGTCATTACCCACTCAAAACTATGTGTAGAGAAACTCAAATTTGGGCTTTTAAGTCCTGGTGCTAAACCAAATAGTTTAAATGCCTCCATAAAGCCACACCAAAATGTAGGGGTTATAAAGCTTGGGATAAGTCAAGTCATAAACCACTCATTAATCCAACATTAAATCAGTCATACACGTAAACCTGATGAAAAACTTGCTTCCCTTCAACAGAATTTCAGTGTTTGCATCCTTTTATAAGAAGGTAACTGTTGCTAAGTTTTATTATATTAAAGCCAGTATGCATATTGTGGCAGCAAGAGTCATATGCACCAATCCCCATTACATTTGGATGACTTTCCAGCTGAAGTTTTCTTCTCAATACACATGTTCAACTGAATAGGAAAATTTAACCTGATAAACACCTGAGACACTGTACTGCTGGGACAGCATCTCTGCCATCAAGTGCTCCTCAAATCCCCTGCATTCCCCTTTGAAGTATGCCCTTCAGTAATCTTTTGGAGCTGACAGTTATCAGTGTCTCCATGGTGTCCCCACCCTGTGAGCCAGTAAAAGTAATCTGTCCTTTGTCTCCAGAACTTTGTTCTTTGAAAGCTCTGGTAAGCTACTTGGGTCTTAAAGACCAGGCCATGCTGCGAGCACATTCCCCGCTGTGTGTTCACTTTTGGTACTTCCAAACGTGTTTCCATTCATTAGCCTTTGACAGCATTTTTGGCCTCTTAAAATTTTCTACAATTACTTTACTGTCTCATCTTAAGTCCCTGAAATCTGTGGATTTACACTGAAATAGTGATAGAAATTAAGGTTTTTATTCAAGTATACAGAAAAGCATATGACTGCAAAGATAACCATGAAAAAACAAAAACTTTTCTAAACATCAGCATTACAGACACTAAAACTTTCCTTAAAATCGACATGAACTACTAGAAACAGTAATATTTGCAAAAGCAGCATCTACAAGAACCGCTTCAAACTAAAATGGATGTAGGTTTTGGTTTACTTCTGCAATAACAGAACTAAGTTTGGCATCCAGGGAACATGATACTCTTTGACAGTAATTTCTTCCACTTTATGAAGAAGAATCTTACCTTTCCTTGTTTGACAATATAGTATGGATTACTGCGAGAAAATCCAGCACTTTCAAGAAGATTCATTACATCATTTTTCCTGAAACGTTATTGTGAAACTATTAAAAACACTCATGGTAAAAGTGACAACTGTAAAAATTCAATATCACAACTAAAAACTATCACAACTATACATCACGTTATAATCACTGTATGTAATGCATGCTCTATTTGAAGAAGCCTCTTTGATAATAGCTAATTCAAAAATGAAATGAGAGAATAAAAATGGGAAAAAAAAAATCAAAAATACTATAGTATTAGAAAGAGATTAAGAAGGAAGCACCTTAAAGCAAAGGGGGGCAAATACAGGTAAAGATATCACATGGAAAGCAACCTGAAGTCTGGTAACTCTTCTATTTAAGTAAAGCCCCGAGAGAAATACTATATAAGCACCTATACATTATGTTAATGACTGGATTAAAGTGTAAATTCAAAGTCTGCAGTCTACTGCACAAGGACTGATGTCCTTGCTGTCAAACTACCAGTATTAAATATTATACAACTGAATAAATTTATTTCAGGCTAGAGATGCAAGTTGACTAAAGAATTTCACAGGAATACTACTAGTCCCATTCAGCTAAGGAAAAGAAGTACCTACGTCACCATTTTCTTGTCTAAGAAGTACTGGTCCTTCTTGGCTCCAATGACTCTGCGAAGTGACACTTCCTCTTTATCAATCTTAAGGAAACAAAACCCAGTAAATTAAACTCCTTGCAGTAGGTACCTGTAACTAATCCAGAACATTATGGCACTTTCTACCAGAACTGAGTGAGGCAGTGGAACAGGTTGCCAAAAGAAGTGGTAAATGCTCCATCCCTGGCAGTGTTCAAAGCCAGACTGGACACAGTTGTGGGTGACATGGTCTAGGGTGAGGTGTCCCTGCCCATGGCACAGGGATTGGAACTAGATGATCTTAACATTCTTTCCAATCCAAACCATTCTATGATTCTATAAAAGCTGTTATTATGAGTCTATAAAAGCTGTTATTGTACCAAAGGCTTCTGTAATCCTGAGATTACCAGAGTTTGAAATAATGGTCTATTCCCCAAGTAGCATTTTCAACTTACCGGCAGCCTGTTGTCTGAATTGTCAAAAATAATTTCCACAAAGGCTGAAATAACACGAGGGCCTGTACCTTCCTAGGGAAGGAGATATTTTGGTTAGACAATCTCCACCTTAGAAGGATTTTGAGCTCATTTATCTCCCCTTTTTCCTGACAATCCCACTACCCCTTTTACATCCAAGTATTTGAGCCAAGAGCATCTATGCAAGATCTAGTACATAGTTTTTATCTCTGAAAATCTTGGATAGCCATTCACCAGCATGCATTATCAGCCTAGTGTATTACTTTGTAATAAATTCCCTTATGACAATGGAAAACAAAAAACGTTTAAGGATGCTTTCAAAATAATTGGCTTCAAATAGCTACAGCCCAGCAATTTGCCATTTCTGTAGTAACGTTCAAATGCATTAGCTTATTCTTTAGTCTTGGTGTTACACAGCTTCACTTACATGCAACAAAGCCAGTCTCTGCTCTGGGCGAAGATGACTAAACTCATCACTGAGGACAAACTGAATTGCTGTAATAAAATAATAAAGAAACAGAAGATTTATTCTTTCCTTCAGGGAGATACGCAGCAGTTTCTTAAACCATACTGTTCTCCTGGTGTATAGTACAGTCATGCCACTGCTAATGTCTTATAATGTCACTTAATTAACTTTATCACTCAGCCTGCTTACTGCACACCAGAATTTCTCTGTCTCATTGTCACCACTGTAACTGGTTGACTGCATAAGCTATAACAATGCTGCACAAGTAGGAATTTGTGAGCTTTCCTCTGCAAATACACAGCACACAGGCTAAAAATATTAGTAAAATACTTAACATTTGACAATTTATAAAGACTACCATCACAAAGGCCACCAACACCCCTGACTGACACTTTTGCACCTCCACTGATGCACCCACCCCACAAAAAACCCCTCATAACATTAATTTAAAGGTTGTATAAGCTGTGCCATACTGGTATGGAACCAGCTCAGAATTTAGCCACCAAGAATGTCTTAAGCAGCTGCAAATATTACAATCGGCTTCCAAGGAGGAGTGACTTTTAGAATCAATTCCCTCCTGTAAATACTTTTTGTCATCTGTAAGTCTTAGAAGGCCCTTAGTAAGAGAGGCCAAATACAAGGGAAAAAACCTGAAGGTAAGTATTAGACAAGCGCATTGACATCTGTCAAATCACTACCAATCTGCCACTCCCTGTTGAGGAAGAACATTTGGTAAACCAACTTCAGGCAAAACCAAAGAAACCTGGTATCATGAGCATCCCCATGCTCATGATATATATATATTAAGAAATGTATATATTAAGAAATTCATGCTCACCATAAAAGAAGTTGCTTTTCCCAGATCCATTTCTTCCCACTGAAAATTAAAACACAAAGTACAACCTCAAGTTGACATAGGTTAACACTGCTGCATTAAATGTTGCATATAAATATGCAAGAAGAGAACCCAAATATAACACAGCCAGAAAAACTCCAAGGGAATGAGGCAAACTTAGTAGGTGGATCACTTAGTCAATGACTGAGAACAAGAGAGCAGCCCTTTCCCCACTCAAACACATTACAATGACTTACAAACTCCAACACTATTCCACAGTGAGAATAATAGTTAAGCAAATCCTATTTATTCCCATCCTTTTAATACTGATCTCCTGGTGAGGTAGAACAGTAGACCTAAATCAAATTCTTCATTGATCCCAGCATCAATGTTTTATATTTAACCAAAGGAGATCACTTGCCTTGTATGAACTTCAGGTAGCTGATTCAGCAATGTTTTGTTTGGGAAAAAAAAATAAAATGGAAGTACTATTTCTATTTAAAAAATAAAGGCATAAGAACACTGCACTACACTACATACAGCAATCACGATGTGTTTCAGCAGAGCTAGTGTCTTATCTTTCAGATCAGCACCTACTGTATTAATGTTTAAACTGCTTGCCTTCCAGCAGCAACAAACATCCAAGGCTTTTCATCCCTTCTTGCCTACGTGCCCTATGGATTCACCTCATCCCCAAAAATACTTGGGATTGCTGTAAGGTCTTTAGAAAGGCAAAAAATAATGGAGCCAGATTTTTTTACCTTTTAAAACCACAAATACATGGATAGATTTAGCTCCCACTGAAGTAACATTATGGAATAGGACATGCTATTCAAGCCGTAGGCATGTTTTTTCCCAGTCTCAGCATAAATCCTGGCTACTAAGTTTTATGTCCAAAATTGATAGTTTTCTGTAGTGTCAGCAGTCTCAAAGTTGCTGCACAATCACTAAAGTCAATGCAAATGAAAAAGCAGGACAAAGCATCCATGGGCAAAAAAATGGAAGAGGCTCGAGGCTGGTGGACAACAACATAACTGTTAGATTAGGTGTTGCTGATGAGGCTACACTTCCAAACATACTTTTTGACAATCCACATTCCAGAAATTCATCCCTCTAAAGCTGGAAGAAAGAGGATCATCTTTTCTGCAGCCATTTACTGTAGCCAGTGTGCTTGTGAATCAAAAACGATCATGCTTACACACACATACTCAAAGAATCCCGTACAAATTCCCTGCTGCTGTTCCTGCAACACCAGCCTTTAAAGGGGGTCTGCCTAATAGACATCTGCACATATGAAGGAGTTTATAGACCACACTCAATTTCTGAAGAGTCAGACATACTAAAAAGTAAAAGCAAATGTTAACATTACTTTGCTTTATAAGTGGAATACACCTTGTGACATGTTACAGATAACCGTACGGAAGTTTACAAAACAGAAAATACAATCAACAAATGCAGGCAGATTATTAAAAACTATAAAGGCCTCTGATGTGAACATCACCTGAAAGAACAGTGCAGCTCCAGTTAATGTTAAAAGTATCAGAACTTACCAATGACATTGTGTTTCGAGCTGAATGGGTCCACAATGGTTTGGTCCCTGTAGCTTCGAAAGCCCTGAATGATTACCTAATGAGAAGAGAGTTATTTTAATAAAGTTCTCTGTGTTCTTGAGGTTTTGGACTGTAAGATTTTACAGCATATTTCTATTAATTGTACCTGATTTTACCCACCCTTCCCACACAGACTTCAACCTTCCAGCTCGTCAGCAACTTGTATCATAAAACTTGCCCCTCACCTAAGCATCACTTTAGGGACAGATTTTTATCCCCGCATTACGAGAGATGCTGGTACTTCTCTTAGCCAAAGCACAGTGAAATTTCTGGGAGTCTTACTGTAACAAACTACCCAAGAAAATGTATTTGTATCAAAATATTACATACAGGAAATAAAGCCCCAGTATAACAAGTACTTATCCTAGAGGGCTACATTTATATAATGCAATCCACACACAGCATGAGAATTCTATTTGCAAACTCTCCAAGCAGAGCAACTGAAGACTGCAATAACTGTACTAGACTCTAGTTTTTTTATATACAATACAATCTTATGTTGCTTTATTGAGCAACCTAAAGGGAAAAGTTAAAAAAGCAAAATATCTTGGTTCCACTGAATTCACTTCCTAAATGGACACATACAAACCTACACAATTAACTTCAGGAGCCACACAGCAAACGGTCATCTAGAAGCTGCACCTCAAATTCCAATTCTTCTATTTCAGTCGCAATGTGAGATTTACCATACCAAGGAACATAGAAGGTACAGAATGACAACATCCTAACACTTGTGTGCTGCATAGAAGCAAAATGGTCCAACACCCAGCACATACGTTCAAGCATTAAGCAACTTTTTCCAAACATTAAAGCTGAAATACTATACAGCAGCTTTGCTCTGCTCATTAACACATCAGCCACCTGAAAACTTTTGATGTTTGCAGATCTGTCAGCAAGAATGCTTACAAAAGGACTAGAGCTGACATTTCATCATTATGTTCTTCACCCAGCTCTTCCCCAAAAGAAGCAAGATAATGTTCAAATAATGCCAATGTTTCACTACAACAGCTGTCATGAACTAAGAGTTACTTGCTAGGAAGACAGCACAACAACTTGAAAAGTATTTCTCACAGCTGAAGTTTAAAATGAGAAATTATTTAGCATTTGGTTTGTTTGTAAGGTGTATGGTCTCATCACCATTTTCTGTTTTCCTGAATATATCATCCCTTCTCTCACATCTTCAAACACAGTCCATGTTCCAGAAGATTAGCATTATACTTGGTATCTGAGAAGCAGATACAAAACAGCAAAAAGCCTAGAAGTAATACTGTACACATTAAAGCAAGCCTTTCCCCCCTACTAGAAACGCTGCATTAACTGTACACCTAAGCAACTCAAGAAACAACCACCTTCAGAACTACTTGCATAACATTGGTAGCATGCTATAGAAATGGTGGGGAAAAAATCCTGTCCATAAAATTCAGTAGACAAAAGACTGGGAGAAGAAAGTGCCCTGATTTATTCACACCAAGTTTGGTCATAAGTCTTTCTCCCATTATGAGACAGCCCATTCATTATCAAGGATTATCACAGAAAACTCCTCTTACCACCTGTTTGTACTAATGGATTAAAACCATCTCATTAATACCAAATGAAAATACCATGTCAGACAGCAAATCAAACACTGGAGTTCATAAAAATCAAAATGAAATAAACCTTAAAGACATTAACTAACTTTTAGTCAGATATCACAGAGCCATTCTCTTCCCAGGCAATATGGCTTGTCAAATCCTCTTTGCAAAACTGTTTCATTACTGGAATCTGAAGCTAAGTATATAGGTAGGTAGAAAATTACTAATCCTTGACCGTCAAACATTAGGTCTAAGCAACAGCAGCTATTCTGGAAAAGGAAGAGTCTTCCAATATAACTTCCTCCAATACTTTGCCTATCTAAACCTTTTTGAATTGCAACTGTCTATGCTCCCTCTCCTTGGGCAAGATACAGTTTTCATTAAGCACCTGCACTTATCTAAATCCAAAGCACCCATAATGGAAGTAATTAAGGATTTCAGAATTTAATGGACCAAACTACAGAAAGCAAGTTTAAGACAATGAATGAGCTGAAGATTACCCAGTCACTGTGGCTGTGAACACAGACCCCATCTCTCCTAAACAGCCTGCCTCATCTCCAGATGACAGCAGCAATAGTAAGCTCTGCCTCAGTACCAGTGGCTTTCAAAGGGAAAAGAGGAACAGCAAATCTCACTCAACTCTTGCCACCAACTCTACACCTCTAGGCCATAGCAACTATGTTCACTTACTCTGATTTTTTAAAAAATAGGTAATAATAGTAATTAAAAAAAAAAAAACAACCACCAAACAAACCCGCACCAACCACATGTGGCAAACAATGCTACTTCCTGATTGACCATATTTCAAGGGGGAAATAGGCAAAAAAGTTTGGTCGCTAGTATTTTTACAGTTTACCTGTATTCTAAAAACATCCAGAATGGAGTATTTCACCTACTTTGTTCTCATAAGAACCTGAAAACCTCTACAAAAAGGTAAAGCCAACCCAATAAGGTCATAATTTCTTGGATATTGCTACAGAAGCACAAACTTTTACTACCCACATCCTCAGGCACCAAAAGAGTACGACACAGGGAGACTCTGAACATCATTTCAGCCCCTCAAAGTTTTTTCCTAGATAGTTTTTCACTTCACCCACCTTACATATTCTGAAGCCTCGTAACTTCTTTATTGCCTAGTATAGCCTTTAAGGATTAAGACTTAAATAATTTTAAACTTTAACTCCAGGAATGACTTCTGGGAAGCAACAAAATATGGGATACTGGTGGAACCAAATTCACCTTCACCTGCTTCGTTCTCATGTTCACACCGTCTTACATTGTCTTCTATAGCTCCCTGAACAGTATTGGTTATTGGCCACCTAAATTCCTTTTTTCCAGATGAAACTTATTTCCCCTGTCCTGACGTAATTTGGACTCCTTGCTCTGATTCTACCTTCACTACTACTTACTACTTTTGTGCAATTCAAATCTGGAGAACCAGAATTATTATTCAAAGACTTTGATGCAATGTGCGCACCTGCAATGACAGAGTGATTTACTAAAACATGATCAAAAGGCATTTGAAACACTCCCTGGACAGCCAAACAGTTGATGAAAACCTGTTTTTTATGTAGAACACACTCTTT